CTTCCCATTAGCAATCATGTGAAAGAATTGCGTATTATCATCCCCTTGGACAATTTTAGACACTTTTTTCTCTAAGCGCCCATTTCATCTCCTCTTCTCTCATGAGGGTTTGCAACTTCTTCTCGGCCTCATTCTTAATATCTCTCTCAGAAGTATTAAGAAGGATCGATTCTGCTTTCACATCAAGTTCATTAATAATTCTTATCAATCTTTCCTTTTCCACTTTATATAAACCAATTTGGTGTTTGGCCCAGCCTCTCAAAAACTGGCGCAGATGTCTAATTTTGTTTTGCCATCTCTCCACACTAGAAGACCCCCCCCCCATGTCTCTGGACCATTCAGTCGCAATGAGCTCTGTAAATCCTTCCCTCTCAAACCATCCCAGTTCGAAAGAAAAAGTATTTTTGTTTCCCACATGGGTCGCTTCCTCAGAATCAACCAATAGTGGGGTGGGGTCAGAGATGGCCCTCTGTAAGGCCTAAACCGTAACCAGTGGATATTTTTGTTCCCACTCGACACTAGAGAGAACCCTGTCCAATTTCTCATAAGTAGGAACCGGCAAAGAATAGGCCCACGTGAATTGCCTACTAGTGAGGTCAATCTCCCTCAAATTAAGGCTATCAATTATCATATTAAACATGAATGACCATCTCCCATCGAAGTTGTCATTATTTTTTTCCTCTTGTCTTTTAATGATATTAAAATCTCCCCCAACCAAAATGGGCAACCGTTCATCCCCACAGATTCGAACTAGATCCGCGAGGAATTCAGGTTTAAGCTCTAGCTGAGCTGCGCCATATACGGCCACCAAAGCCCATCAGAAACCATCAATTTTCAACCTTACACGAAATTTGACAGCAAAATCACCGTGGATCTCCCAAGTAGTATCCCTCAGGATCTCCCACTTGGAGGTAGACAGTGCCAGTCAAATTCACCCCCCCCCCCCAGAAATGGTGTTGAGAAACTGAGGAGTGAAATTATCTCTACCCGTCTCCATCAAAGCCATAAAATCTAATTTTTGTTCTACTGATGTATCACTAAGGAATCTCCTTTAGCCAAGTCCGCTAGACCTCTGCTATTCCAGAATATCCCTTTCATATTTCATCATGGAATTTTTTTCTTTTGTTTGACTCTCGCACTCCGATGAACCGCCGATGTAGGATAAACCTTCCTCTTCCAGTTTCTTTTGGGTTTATCCTTCATGTCCTCAACATGTTGAACATCGGTGACAGAAGTGGCCTCCGGTTGCAAAGGGGCCACACATACCCCTTTGTAACCATATCCTCCTCCTCGGCGTCCAAGCCCTCCATGGGGACTAAATCCTCACAGAGATTCTGAAGCCCATTTACTCAAAGATCATTCATATCTACCTCATTCATAGGTTTTGCCGCTGCTAGATGTCGTATTAAATCCATAGCTCTATCAGTCTCTAAGTATAGTAAGTCATTAATCGATTTTGTAGTTTCTTTGTCATTACTACCAAGAGAAATCCCTAAGTTGTTGGCTTTATCAATAATATCGTGTTCTGAAAAGTGAAGAATTGAACAACTTGTATTAACTGGCATACCTGTATGAACTTCGATGTCTCGAGCTTGGCGGCCCTCATGGCACGCCCATCTGTATGTCATCCACGTCCGGCTGATCCTGTATCCGATGGCTAAAGCACCTGTCACCAGACAAAGGGTCCGGAACACCTCCAAAAGCGATCACGTCCTCCAGAGCGACTCATGTAGGGCTATGGCCGCCTGCCGTATGCCCAACTGAGTCAGAAGCGATGGGTGACATCCCGGGCTGGACCGTCGGTGAAGCATCAGCCAGGGTGTCAGAACCAGTACCAATCTGATCTGCATCACTGACCAGCGTGGACACCACCTGTGTTGAGCCAGTCTCAAGAGGCGACTGAGGAGTCGCAGGAAACCGGGCACCCTCCAGCTGAGAAGGAGGGGTGTCTGTCATCTCAGGAGTGACTCGCCTCTCCTGCGGTGACAGCTGTGGTACGTCCTCAACCACCGTCTGTCTGTGATGATCCTGAACCACCTCCAAAGGAAATCCAACATAAGAATCCTCCATCTCCACGTGATCACTCCACAAGCGACTAGGCGCGGATGTCGCCTGGAACGAACCAAACCTGAGAGAAGCCGCCGGAGTGGACAAGGAGGCCGACCCCTTGTCTGCCCCCGCCTCAGTCGACTGCGAGGATTTACCAGCCGGCGCCTTCTTCCCAGACATGTCCTTGGGATTTCCGTCCATCCCCTGGTAACCATTCCCGTCTCCATCACCATCCTTGGTCGTGTCAACATCCATGTCCCCAATGTTACTATCTGCAAGAGGAGTCTCCTCAACCTCAACATCCAAATCATAGCTCAGACCATCATATGACCATGGCACAAAATCCAGGATATATTTCGCCCTCACCACACCAACGAGTATCCTGGCAACTCCATGCATATGGGTATATGGCATATCAACCTTCTCTGTTTTACCAAACAAAGACCCAAGACTGGAGACAATAAGAAAGTAATTAAGCAAAGTCTCCGGAACACCGTTGAGTCTCACCCAAACGTTCTCCAGCGGTACCCCTGTCGGCTTAGGTCTTGCACACTTGTCAAACTCGAGGACACACATGCTCTCGGGCACCCTACCGAGTCCACACTTAAGCAAATGATTGAGATCCTCTCTCCTAGGGAACTCAACCATGTAGAGTTGATCCTCTACCCTGACAGGAGACCAGTGAAAGGACTCAGACACCAGCCGTCTGAGCTGTCGACACACCTGTTCCACTGTCAAAGTCCCTTTAGTCACCCTGACCAGACTAAATCTCGAGCTCTCCGATGTGGGGGTCACCGAGATCGTACGTGAAGTCTCAAAGAACATAAGCTGATTGTTGCAGACACCATAAATATTCACGACAGGTGTGGGTACTAGAAGCAACGGACAATCGTCAGATGAGTGTCCCGGCTTCAAGCAGATGTCACATAACACTTCTGTACATTCAATCACAAAGTGACCTGGGAGTCCACAACGATAACAAGTCATCTTTTCTTTCTTGCGTGCCGCCTTATTAGCTCTCATGTTTTCAGCTTTGTCACTACCTTTGTTGCTCATCCCATCTCTGTCATCGGTGGGCGTTGTGGTCGGCACTGACACCGCCGCCAATGTCGTAACCGCCGCCATCGCAGCATCAGGCAAAGAAGCCGTGGAAGTAGAAGCAGTGGGCACGGCCGTCTTCACCGCCCCACCGCCAGTCTTTGCCATTTTGATTGTCGGCTGCTTAGGGTAAACCTTGGGGGCATACGGGCGACGTGGAGGAGGGTTTCGGCCATCCCCTCCCCAACCTCCCCGCTGACGATAATGAGGCCCTGTGGCACCCTCGACAAACTCGCCGGGCGGAGGATTGAAATTTCGCTGCCACTGGTTGCTGCCATAACCTCTTCCTCCCCCGTTATTCCATTGGTTTCAACCATTACGATAGCCCTGATAGCCACCATCAATGCCACGTCCACCTCCATATCTGCCACGACCACCATTGAAACCACCACGGCCCTGAGCATAATCACCATGGCCACCGCCTTCGGGAGCAGCTCCAGAATCAGCACGTCCGCGCCGCCGTACACTCCGCTGCCACCGGCGGATCCCGTGTGAGCCGTTGCATGGTTCTGCCCGGCCTCACCTGCCCCGTGCCCCACACCGTCTCCACCACGCGGAGCAGCAGGTGGCTTTGGCGGCTGTTGTGCTGGGAACCGTAGGGGTGGGCGGGAGTCACCTCGCCCAGCCATGGTCGCCGGCGGGACTCGCCGCGCTCTGCCCATCAGCGAAGGGAAGCCCGTCGCCGGCCTCCGCCGAACCCTAGTTGTGTCCTCGTCGCTAGCCAACGTACGTGGATGTTCTGGATTCTCGACCGAAGGAACTAAAACGTACTACGCCGCATCGTCGACCGAACCAGACCGGGCCGCATACCCGTCTGATCCTGTCCTGTCGATCAGGCTTTCGCGCTGGGCCACATACCCAGGTGAGGTGGGCCCACCTGCTGAGAGAAGCCCATCGGCGCCCAATAAGCTTTTCAAACGAGCCGTTCTCGTAGATCGGATCCCGAGCACCGGTGATTCTTGCTTGAACGCCGCCGGCGCCGTCTGCGTCCGGCCAGCCGACACCCGGTGCCCCTTCTTCTTCCTGACGACCGTAGTCCATGAATCCGGACGCAGCGGACCTTGGGGAAGGGGCCCTTCTATGGCCGAACTGCCGACGACGTCGTCCTCCGATGAACGACTCGTCGGATCATCTCCGTCGCCTCTCCCGCGTGTAGCCCTGCCCTTGCTGGATCGTCGCCCGGTAACACGTCTTGAACGATCGCCGCCACATCCTCCTTGTTGTAGTCGGAGTTGAGTAATTCACAGACCCAATCGGACGGCGTCGGCGAAGCCTCCGGCAGCGAACTGCCCGCTTCATCATCCTCGCTGTGGTCCTCGCTATCGGCCAGCGCCCAAAAACGCCCTCCGACATGCCGCCGGCCACTCGGGGTGGATCCCAGTCGCGCACGGGGCGGTCGCCTCTCCGGGCTGATCCAAAGTTATAGCAAATGCATTGCCCGCTGTTATCATGTGTACGCTTTGTGCTTTCAATGATGCAACTTCTAAGGAACATCTAGCAATGTCTCAAACTCCTGATTCAATCCCCTCAAGTGTGAGACATAAAGATAGAACCAAATTCAAGTTAAAACCCAAGTTTGACAAACCCAATCCTCTCCCACCGCTGCACTACTAGAATCTTTTATAGTCGTCCAATATGTAGGCGCTTTATACAAATGTAACTTTAATGCTTTTGTGCCACTATGTTTTATGACTATATATTTATAAAAATTCTTTCATCGTTGGAAAAATATATTGACACAACAACACGTGCCATCAATGATCTTGTGGATGTATACAAATGACTTTCCTACACGTATACAGTATCTACACATTTACACATGATGAGCTGCGCATCGTCGTTGACCAGGCCGGCTACTCGTTCCAGTCAGCCGGCCGCCGCCGTTGATCGTCGTACCAGCACATACTGCTGAGACCAACGAGCACCTCGACGATGGCAGCGTCCGCCTTCCGACGGTCCGCGAAATGCAGCGTCTGCACCATCGGCGCGCGCGGCTGCATGCTGAACCGTTGCTTCCGCTCCATGCTCCTCTCGTCCTGCCACCGCAGCGTGTCATGCGCCATTGGCCCCAACCACCGCAGCACTCCGTCCACGGCGTCCATCGCTGTCGCGGCGGCCTCCTCGTCCACCTGCCCTCCTCTCAGCCTCTCCCTCAGCTTCTCATTCACTGCCGCGCGTATGGTCACGGGCAGCATCTTGTACAGCTCGTCTCTCATCGCCAGCTCCGTCATCCCGTCATGCGCCTCCTCATTGCGGATCGCCGGCCTCAGCACCTTGAGCAGCGTCTCGGCGGACAAGATCACGTTCGCGTAACGCAGTTCCATCCCCGAGCCGCCGACGGTGGTCGCAGGCGGCTTGAGTGACTCTGACGATGTCGAGGCCGTGTCTTTTTGTCGGAAGATCGGAGCCGAGTGCCGGATCGCCGCGTCGGGCGCCGTCGACTGGTGCATGGGGCCAGACGAGTGGCCGAGCGCCCATCCCCGGCCTGTCAACGGAGGTGGCAATCCCGGCACTAACGCGCCGAAGGCAAGGGAGACGCGCGCGAGCACGGCGAGCACCGACTTGGCCATGAGCTTGGCCACCTTGTGGGCGGCGACGCTCCAGAGCGAGCCCTCCGTGAGTCGCCGCACCTTCTGCCGCTGCAACCTGAGCTCGCCCATCAGCTTCTCGCTTGGCTCGTCCGCGGGCTGCCGCTTGGAGGACTGCACGGGGATGGGCCCGCTGTGCTGCTTCCACTGCTCCATCCGCCGCTCCGACGCCTCCAGCTCGGTGAGCGCGTCCATCTCCGCGTACAGCTTCGCCGTGGCGGCCACGTGCCGCTCCATCTTCTTGAACCGCTTCCCGGCGCCCCTGGAGAACCCGACGGTGGCGTCCAGCCGCGCGAGGCCGGCTCCCCGCTTCGCGTCGGCGTAGACGCGGTCGAAGTTGTGGAGGAAGGGCGCGTCCGGCAGCCCGCGGCAGCGCGCCCCGAGGCGCGCGGCGTCGTCGGCGGCGCGGTCGAGGCCCGCCATGAGCTCGGCGCACGTGAGGCGGAGCAGGCGGGACTGGTCCGTGGACGTGAGGCGCGCGACGCCCTCGGCGCGCAGCACGTCGGCGCGGAGCCTCCTGACCTCCGCGTCGGAGAGCGAGAGGTGGAGCGAGACCAGGCGCGACATGGCCGCCGCGGCCTCGAAGGCCAGGATGCCGAGCCCGTCCTGCCTGGCGCCGCCGCCGAGCCGAGACCGCAGGCCGGCCAGCCATGACCTGGCCATGACAAAACTCCTCCACACAAACGCGCGCGCGCAGTAGACCGATCGAAAACCAAAGAAGGAAGCAAACTGTAGCTATGTTCGCTGTTGACTGACTGAGGTTGCCGCAGCCGCAGCCTGCAAGTAGTTATAGGAGAGATAAAGATATCAGAATCGGTGCAGGAACGTTCGAGGCGAGACGGCGCAGGATCATGCGTACGACGGATGATAAACCCGGAGAGGATTTGCTCATCCAGCAGATACCGCGTTTAACAGCGAAGAGCTACGCCAGCGCCAGCACGCGAAGAAGACGAAGGAAGCATGTGTGCTCGTCTGTGGATGGAGGATTAGGGGAAGGTGCGTGTTTAACTAAACGCAGTCGGCAGCGCGACGCGGCCGGGTCAGGAGATGAGAAGTCGTCCACGCACGTAGCCGGAAAATCACGAGCAAGTGTCCCATGTGCGATGTGCCTGCAGCAATCCTGCCGTCCCGATTAGACTACTGGTGGTGGAAGGAAGTTCAGTGCCGTCTGGTGGATAGAGCCGGAGACTTGCCCCCGCCAGGTCGTCGACGGCGACGCCCCTTTCCCCTCTTCCCGCTTGGCCTGGAATATGCATGTCCGATGACCGGTAAGGCACGGTGCGTCGTCGCCTCGGTGGCCTAGTGGTTCCCGTATAGGATGAAAACGTAGTGCTACCATATTTGTTTTCATACATTTTTGCAGAAACGGAAATGAATACAAAAACCTTGAAAATGAATATGGAAACAGATACTACTGAAAACGGATACGGAGTGAATACAAAACGGACACGGAAACAAAAGAGGGCATTTGACCGGAAGCTAAAAAAACCCTTAAACCTTAGAGAAATACACACAAAACATAAGTAAATTTAATAAATTGTTAATATGGCTATAAAAGAATATCATTATGTTAGTAACTTAGCGTAGTATCGTAGTAGTACTGGACAATTACGTATAGGGTCAAGCTGAGTACATGTGTAGTAGTAAATGTTGGGCTAAAATGATTCATTCTACTCATTGTATACTTGTGTGTTGTTTAGTGGTTGAATTATAAAGTAGCCATATGTCTATAGTAAAAACGAAAATTCCATATTCACGAAAACGGAAAGTTCCGTTTCCACGCCTGTTTGACCGGAAAATACCATTCCGTTTTTGTTTCCGTTTCCACATAAAAAAAATTCACTTCCACTTCCGTTTTGCAAATTTTCGGTTTTCGTTTTTATATTTCCTCTCCGTTTCCATTATTCCTCCAGAAAAGCGGAAAGTTTTCACTCTATTTTCATCCCTATTCTCGCATGTGGTTGTATAGTGGAGGACCCGCTTTGCTACAGCAGTGGTACCGTGGTACGCCTTCTGTACGTCTTTTTCTCGGCTAATAACTGTAGTTTGAATTATTATTTTGCTGGAACGCTAAACGTCGGTTTTCAATCAGTGCCACGGTAAGTGCTCGTTCTCCACAGATTTGAATTACCACCAGGAGGGCTCATTGAACGATTTGATAGTAACCTGCCTGTTCCCTACACAATACGGCAGGAGCTATGTTAGAGCATCTCCAACGTGGATCACTAAAACGATCATAAATTGTCTCTAACGACGAACAGTCCGGACACTTCCAGGTCTTCAACACGGGCATAAAATTGGGCCGGACCCCTCTAGACGTCTGAAACCCTGCAGCCCTGCTTCAAATAGAGGGGAGCTCTTGGGGAGTAGGCCCCCCCGCCACTTAAAACCCCACTTGAAACCCGAGTATTTTCATAATCCTGCCACATCAAAAGATACAACGGCCTAAGCGACCAGACTTAACATAAATGTAGCCACTGGAACCATTCTAAAAAGGGAGAAGTTAGCACTACTCGATGAAATATGTTCCTTTAGAGTCATTTTCAAACCATCTACTAGAGGTTGTAACCTTTTCGCGCCAAAGCCTTCCTCTCGACCCTAATCTCCTCCGCCACCGCCGAGATGGATCTGTTGGAGCCGTTCATGATGTTCATCATCCCGCAAGACACACACAAGCCCGTCCGCTGCCTAGCTGCAGAATGGCAAGGACGGCCTACGAGATAGAGAGGGCCGCCAAGAAGGCGGCGACCTGACCACTCATGCAGCTACCGCCCGGCCGTCAGCATCCTTCCCTCCCCTCTCCCCAGTTCAAGCTAATGTACTACTATGTCGGCCATCTAAACAGTTAGCCCGAGACACAGTCGCCGAAACACTCCACCACCTTTGGACGCCTTCCACCATACACCATCGACATCAATACGGACTACACGGTCATGGAGACGTAGTCGTCACAGCTCTTCCGGTCATGGTTTCCTTCTAAGGAGCCCTCGTCCAGCGGTGCCTGGCCACCGTTCCATGGAACGCCTCCCCAAGCTCGACAGCGACCGTCGGTGAGGAGATGATGAACATGATCCATGATGGCGGTGGTCACAGGGATAGACAAGTAGACGGCACTACTCACTGCAGCCAGAGCAAGAGGCGCCCGATCCGAACACCCAGTAGGCGGAGTCGGTCGTACCCGTTCGAGACGAGAAGAAGATGAGGACACTCGTCGTACTCACTGAAAGAAGATGAATTATTATGTGACGCGTGGTTGGGCATGAGTGTTGGTATGATGCATGGCACTGAGGAAAAAGGCTCGGGTTTTTGCCAAACCGTGCATGATTTCTATCATGAGCAAAATAACTATACCCCCCCCCTCCCCCGACAACGAAGTGATCCATGACCACAATGTAAGTCGCTAGGCCATCGATGATGCATCATTCAACTTGACATCAACAAGTATTGAGGCACATATAACGCAAAAATGGTGGCAAAGTGGCATGTCAATCCTCGAGCTCGTAAGTTTCGTGCCGTGTTGCTCTATGTGTTTTCATTGGATTTTTTTGCTCTATGTTGCAAGTTCTTGATCATGTTGTTGTCTTATTGCTAGCCAAATAGGGCATGTGCCTAGTACCACAAGTTCGGGAAAAGTCATTCACGTTGATGCATTATTGGTCATGTTGAATAAACAAAGCAAGTGGGCAAGCATTGCCCATCCCCCCCCCCCCCAAGATCGCCGACTCAAAAGGCACTGGTGAGGACGATGTTGTTGATCCAACCGCTGGAAGG